GAAGGTCTCTCACGGTGGTTTGGGTTGGTGGTTATAGGCCTTGAAACGGTGGTGTGGGTTGTGGTTAAGGGAAGACGAAGGAGGTGGTGGTGATTGACGGTGGAGGACGGTGGTGGAGTTGAAGGGAGAGAGATAAGTGAGAGAGGAAGAGAGAGAGAGATAAAGAAAGAGGGCGGCTGAGGGTTTGAGTGAGGGAAAAAGTGAGGTTTTTGGGTTATAATTTTTAAAATTTGACTTTTGGACCCACGCTCATAGCGTGAATCTCACGCTAACGGCGTGGATGCTTCTGTTTCACCACGCTCCCAGCGTCAATACCACGCTGACAGCGTGAATGCCATTTTTGAATTGCTCACGCTTCCAGCGTGAGTCTCACGCTTATGGCATGGAACCTCCTGTTTCCTCACGCTCCCAGCGTCAATACCACGCTGACAGCGTGGGACTCCTTTTACATTTCTCACGCTTAGAGCGTGGATCTGGCGCCCGTAGCGTCAGTTCACAGTTCCCAGCTTGTTTTTCTCTAATCCGAAAATAAAATTAAAATGACTAGACTACTCTTCCTGCTGGGTTGCCTCCCAGTTAGCGCTTGTTTAACGTCACGAGCCTGACAGAAACCGTTTAAGATTCAGGTGAAGCCAAAGGGACAGAAATTGTGTCCCTTTTCACATGTTCTCCATGATAAAATTTCAATCTACTCCCATTGACCTTAAAAGGTCTTTCAACATTGAGAGGAGATATTTCTACTGTACCATATGGAAATACATTTTTCACAATAAATGGACCAGACCAACGGGATTTGAGCTTACCTGGAAACAACCTCAGTCGAGAGTTGTATAGTAATACCTGTTGTCCTGGCACAAATTCCTTTGGTTGAATCCCTCTGTCATGCCACTTCTTTGTTTTATTTTTGTAGATTCGGGCACTCTCATACGCAGAATTCCTGAACTCATCAAGCTCACTCAATTGAGCCTGTATTTTCTCCAAAGCTTTTGTTGAATAATTTAGGAATTTGATAGCCCAGAAAGCTTTGTGTTCCAGCTCCACAGATAGGTGGCAAGATTTTCCATAGACCATCTGATAAGGTGACGTGCCAATAGGAGTTTTGAAAGCAGTCCTATAAGCCCACAAAGCATCATCTAGCCGCTTGGACCAATCCTTCAAAGAATTTCCCACGGTCTTCTCAAGAATCCTCTTCAACTCTCTGTTAGAAACTTCCACTTGGCCACTAGTATGAGGATGGTAAGGTGTGGCAACCTTATGTTTAACACCATACTTAGCCAGTAAGTTATCAAACTGTTTGTTGCAAAAATGAGTCCTTCCATCACTGATTATTGCCCTTGGTACACCAAACCTTGTGAAGATGTTCTTCCTCAAGAAATTGACAACCACTTTAGCATCATTAGTGGGAAGAGCGACAACCTCAACCCACTTAGAGACATAGTCAACAGCAACAAGGATCTACTGATAGGAATATGATGAAGGAAATGGTCCCATGAAATCAATTCCCCAAACATCAAAAAGCTCCACCTCCAATATGCTATTGAGAGGCATTTCATCCTTGAGGAATAAAGATAGCCATAACCTTCTCATTAAGAAAAGAATCATTGATCTCTTTTTCCGGACTATCCTGCAACACTTTCTCTTGGATTCTGGACAAGTGATTTGCCACCTTGTTCTCCACCCCAATTTTGTCTCGGATTTCCAAGTCAAACTCTTGAAATAAGAGCATCCACCTCAACAACCGTGGCTTTGCATCCTGCTTAGTCATCAAAAACTTAATAGCAGAATGGTCAGTAAAAACAATGACTTTAGAACCCAACAAATAAGGCCTAAATTTGTCTAATGCATAAACTACTACTAGCATTTCTTTCTCAGTTGTTGCATAATTAACCTGAGCTTCATTCAGAACTTTGCTAGCATAGGAAATAACATGTAACAATTTTTCCTTACGCTGACCAAGCACGGCGCCAATTGCATAAGCACTGGCATCACACATGAGCTCAAAAGGGAGACTCCAATTAGGAGCTGTAAGCACAGGTGCTGTAGTGAGCTTTTCCTTCAACAAGTTGAAGGCCTTGAGGCATGCATCATCAAACAAAAAATAAGATTCCTTCACCAAAAGTTGGCTCAACGGTTTTGCTATCTTGGAGAAATCTTTGATGAATCTCCTGTAAAAACCTGCATGTCCTAAAAAACTTCTAATACCACTAACATGAATAGGAGGAGGAAGTTTCTCAATCAACATCAGTTTAACTTTATCAACCTCTATCCCACTCTTAGAAATTTTATGCCCCAAAATAATCCCCTCATGAACCATAAAATGGCATTTCTCCCAATTCAAAACAAGGTTAGTTTCCTGGCATCTTTACAAAACTTTAGATAAATTATCTAAACATGAATTAAAACAAGAGCCAAAAACTGAGAAGTCATCCATAAATACCTCTAAATATTTCTCTACCATATCAGAAAAGATAGAGAGCATACACCTTTGGAAAGTAGCAGGTGCATTGCAGAGACCAAATGGCATCCTCCTATAAGCAAAAACTCCAAACGGGAAGGTGAAAGCTGTCTTCTCTTGGTCTTCAGGGGCTACTGGGATTTGATTATAGCCCGAATAGCCATCCAAGAAACAGTAATAAGCATGGCCCGCCAATCTCTCCAGCATCTTATCAACAAAGGGAAGTGGAAAATGATCCTTCCTTGTGGTCGTGTTCAACCTTCTGTAGTCCACACACATTCTCCAACCAGTTATGGTTCTAGTTGGAATCAGCTCATTTTTGGCATTTTCAACCACGATCACGCCTCCCTTCTTCGGAACAGTCTGTACCGGACTCACCCAAGCAGAATCAGAAATTGGGTAAATCATACCTGCATCAAGAAGCTTCACAACTTCTTTTCTGACCACCTCTTTCATCATTGGATTAAGCCTTCTTTGCGGTTGCCTCACAGGTTTGATGTCTTCCTCCATGAGTATTTTGTGAGTACAGAAAGAAGGACTTATACCCTTCAAGTCAGAAATAGACCACCCCAAGGCAGTCTTATGCTCCTTCAGAACTTCTTTCAACCTAATCTCTTGGTTAGAAGATAACCCATTATTAATGATTACTGGGTAAGTTTCCTCATCCCCCAAGAAAATATATTTCAAAGTATTGGGCAAAGTCTTCAATTCAACTTTAGGTGCTCCAACTTCTATATCATCAACTTTTTCTTTAAGCATTTCCACAGCAACTTCCTTCTCTTCAAAGGGAATATGGTCACGGGCTTTCAGTTCATGATCAAGCTCTTGAGGGCGAGATTTCTTTTGTTGTACTATCTCTTAAAAGACATCGATTTGGAAACAATCATTATACTCAAAAGGTCTTTTCATAGCATCAGAAACATTAAAAGTGATTGCTTCATCATTCATCCTCAATTCAATTTTCCCTTGCTCGACATCAATCAAAGCACGAGCTGTAGCCAAGAAAGGTCTACCCAAGAGAAGTGGTTTTTCACTTCCTTCCTCTATGTTCAACACCACAAAATCAGCAGGAAAAATGAACTTGTCCACTTTCACCAGAACATCTTCAATAATGCCATTGGGTGTTCTTAAGGACCTATCAGCAAGTTGGAGAGATACCTCTGTAGACTTTAATTCCTTGATTCCCAAAGATTTGTAAACAGAGAGAGGCATTAGATTGATACTTTCCCCAAGATCACACAAAGCCCTGCCAATACCAATCTTACCAATGGCGATGGGGATATTGAAACTCGCTGGATCACTAAGCTTTGGAGGAATCTTCTGTTGAATAAATGCACTGCACTTCTCAGTAAGTGTCACAGTTTGACATTCCTGCAGCTTATGTTTCCTTGATAAGAGATCCTTCATGAACTTGGCATAATTTGGCATACTCGCCAATGCTTCTGCAAAAGGAATATTTATGTGCAGCTTTTTGAAAATATCCAAGAATCTGCCATACTGCTTGTTCTGAGCATCTTTCTTGAATCTCTCAGGATATGGTGCCATAGCCTTGACATACTCAGGACTCAACTCATGCTTTTTCTCAATCACTACATGTTGTTCTTTTGCCCTCACGTTCTCCTTCTCTGCTGGCTTCACAGTCTCCACAGGTATCTCAACTTCTTTTTTAGCTTCAACTGTCGCATCATGTTTCTCTTCATCTACTTCACACTCTATATTTGGATTTTTAGGAGATGCTACCACCTTGCCACTTCTAGTAATAATGGACATACAATCTCCCCTTGGATTAGTAACTGTATTACTTGGAAAAGTACCTGGAATTCTTTTTGAGACCTGTTTTGCCAGTTGGCCTACTTGATTCTCCAGATTCTTTATGGAAGCATTTGTATTTTTATTCTGAGCTCTAGTTTCTTCCATAAAAGCATTAGTGGTCTGAGCTATCTCATTAGAAGTCTTAGCCATTTGTGCAAAGGCTTTTTCCCACTCAGCAGGCTCTCTTTGTTGACTTTGTGAAGGCTGAGCATAATTGTTGGGCTTGAAATCCATTCCAGCTCCTTGACTTCTCCTCTGAAAATTACTACCACCACCACCAGTAAAATTCTGGTTTCTTTGAAAAGTCGGCTGCTGAGGCCTTTGATCATACCATATACCATTCACCTGCATTTGTTGAGGAGAATCAGAAGAAGTAAGAGTAGGACATTCATTAGGTTCATGATTGTCCTGGCAATAATCACAAAGAAAGGCCACAGATTTAGCCTGAATGCCAGCAATTTGCATGTTGTCAAGCCTTGCAGTTAAACTTGCCATTTGTTGAGATAACAATTTGTTTTCAGCCAATAAAGAATCATTGTCTCCCAGCTGAAGGCTACCTTTCTTAGACTTTGATAATAATCCCTGATTTTCGTTCCTGGCCATCCTCTCTATCAGCTCAAAAGTCTCATTCGCCCTCATAGTTTTAATAGTACCACCAGCTGCACCATTCAAAACCATTCTATCCTTAGGTGTAATGCCATTGAAGAATATTCTGACTTGATCGCCAGCAGTCAAATTATAATGAGGGCACTTCCTCATCTAATCCTTGAATCTATTCCATGCCGTGCACAAGGTTTCACCCTCAATTTGAGTGAAATTGGTGATGTCATTCACCATCTGATTATATCTCTCCATGGAAAAAAATTCAGAGAAAAATTTCATAGATAAGTCATCCCATGTAGCAATGCTCCATGCCGGTTGTCTTTCTAACCAACTGAGAGCTTCTCCCTTAACAGCAAAAGGGAATAAACGAGACCTGATTGCATCATCAGATACCCGAGGGTGCTTAGTCGAATCACAGATCATAAGAAATCGATCTATGAATCTATGAGGGTCTTCATGCTCTTCTCCTCCAAACTGAACTCTTTCCACCAATTGAATGACGGAAGATTTCAGCTCCCAATTATTGTTGTCAATCGCAGGCTGGACAATACTTGAATTTGGCCTGTTGAACGCTGGAGTGAGAATAGTATCCATAAGTGGATTTTCTGCCTCATTGTTGGCTGCCATGTTGTGTACTTCTTCAAACAGATTTTCTAACTCGTTGAAAGCAAGCTTCTTCTGAGTAAATTTTTTGTTCCTCTTTTCTGTTTTTGTAATCTCCAAATCAAGTGGAAATTCGAGTTCTTTACCTCGCATACAACTCAGAAAAAAAGATTAGTATCACTGTTCAAGAATCACAGAAAAATCGAAAAAAAAATAAAAATAAAAATAAAAGAAAAATCCAATCTTAAAAACCAAAATTAATTGATATAAGAAACGCCAATCCCCGGCAACGGCGCCAAAAACTTGATGACTCCCGGCAAGTATACCGATCGCACAAGTAATAAAGTGATAAATAATGTTCGTCTCCACAGGGATTGTGATCGTATATCAATTAATATTTCTTTTAAGGATGGAAGAGTTCAAATGGTTTGTGACAAATATTGTCGAGTTGTGTAAAATTTAGAACTGAAATAAAGACCTATTTTTGTAATTTTGTTTATGAGAAATAGAAAAATAAATTGAGAATTGACTTTTGTAAAAGTGAGAAAAGCATTGTAGCTAGAGCGCACTCACCTTATGATCCCCACTTATTACTTTGGATTGATTTTAAAATATTCAATTATATAAATTCTCAGATAAATTATTATCTAAAATAATTAGTTAAATCTCAATCCCTTGGCAATTTAACCCTTTAACCTCAATTGGAATCCTAATCCCTTAGCAATCCCTCATGAAAATTAAGCAATGCACTCAATAATTTAGGCATACACAATTAGATATACATCTATTCCTAGCATGCATACTAATTGTTATCTTACCCCCTTTCAGGATGATAACCCCAATATTCCTATCTAGGGTTCTAACCCTCAAACTATCTTCAACTACTAGAGTGATCAAGTCTAACAAAGAAGATATAACATACGCACAAGGTAAAGATAAAGAAATTTATATAAAAGAGTAAAAATAAACCAATCCTTCGTAACAAGGGTTCACATAAGGGTTGTGACCCTAACTACAATAAAGAAAAACTTAGCCAACCATATTCATGGCTAATAAATCAATATTCAATATTCAATGGGATGAAAAGAATGAAAGATGAAAGAATAAAGATGATCAAGAATCCTTCTCCGAAGCTCTTCTCCTTCAGCACGACGTCTCCTCTGGTCTAGATACCTAATTCTGTGCTGAGCCTCCTTTTTATAATACTCTTTTAGGCCTTCCAAATTTACCCTTTTGGACAAAACAGAGTTGCAGTATCGCATGCTGACGCTCTCAGCGTCAGATTCACGCTGTGGGCGTGGTTGCCTCTGGATTCCCACGCTGTCAGCTTGACATCCACGCTGTGGGCGTGGAAGCCTCTGGTTCTTCACGCTACCAGCGTGACATCCACGCTGTGAGCGTGGGTCTTTACTTTGGCAAATCCTCATTTTGCTCCAAATTTGTTTGCATTTCCTACAAATTAAGCATAAAATCAGCTGAACAATTCTGAAATTGGAATTTAAGCAAAGCAACACTAAACATTGCCTTTTTACTGAGAATTAACCCATAATCTTTCTCTTTTTAGCTTGAATTAACCCGTGTGCTGAAGGCACATCAGTTAACAACCGGAGTACTGCGGGGTTTTACATTTATGGTATTAGAGCAATTTCACCGAGACGTTCACTGATTTATTGCTTAAGTGTTAACTACCTATAGAGTGTTTCTTTGAGTGCTTTGATAATTCATATGCATCACTTGTATGAGCGTAGCTAACTCGTTCTGGGTGTAGTTGTGTGCAATTATCATGGCTCCTCAAAGGAGGACCCATCAGGTAGATGGGGATCCACCACCAGATCCCGTATCAGCTGCTCTAGCAGCTCTTTCGAAGTCCTTGAATACTGCCAGGGAAGCTGATCTACAAAGGTTGGCAGAGGCCAGAAAGAGATACATGGAGTACATGAGGAAGACTAGAGAGGATTTTGTGGCTCAGAAAAGAATGACGAACATGGAGATGATGAGACTATTATTGGCTGATGATAAACCTTTAGTTTATCTTGTTTAATGGACTAAAATAATATGAATTATCTAGTTGAACAAGTCAAAAATTAGGGTTTTAAAATGATAATCATGAACATTATCTGATTGTTGGAACTAAATAACATAATTGCTATTTTTGAAGGGATTTGATAACAAATGGATTCAAATATGGATTTAGATAAAGGGAGATCAAATCAGAAAAGATATGGATAGATGGAAAGCAAAACAAAAAGATTTGAAGATCTTATCAAGATTCCCAAGTTGTTAGAAGAGAGAGCTTAAGCCCCCATTCAGAAGCTTAAGCTCTCCAAAAACGCAATTGCCACTGCCTCTGGGCGCTTAAGCCCCCAACTCAAGGCTTAAGCGCAGGACAAGAAGAAAGTTTCGTTGCGAGGAGCGCGCTTAAGTGCCCTCCAGAGCGCTTCAGCGCGCAACGCGAGTCAGAAATCACCGTCCTAGGGCGCTTAAGCGCGCTACAACAAGCTTAAGCGCCCAGTCAGATGCAACTTAGGCTCATTCAAGTTTTCTACTGCAGTACGAACTCTTGACCTATTTAAACACCATTGGGGACCAGAAATACGAAACTTTTACATTGCTAAACAACTCTTGGGTGCTCGGAGGCTGAAGGAACGCGGAGGAACATCAGATTCATGTTCGTGAGCGGCGGAGACGGATCAACGTCAAGTGTTCACTGGAGATATTGAAGATCCACCAATCACTTATGGAGTTTGGGGGAGCTTTTCTATTTTCTTTTGTTCTTGATTTTGCCATGTTCGGCTTGTTCTTTAAGTAGTTTGGGTTAGATGGATTTTAGTCGATTTATTATGTTTTGAACAATTCGCTGCGTTAATTTTCCTTTATATCATGAATGAAGTTATCTGTTTTTAATGTTTTATATAGGCTTGAATCTTATATAATGATCATCGGTGAATGCATGACAATAGGAATGTTGGTGTGTGATCCATATCTGATAACTTCATCATAAACGCTATGATTCTAGGGATAGACATAGGGTTTGCGTAATCTTTAAGATTCTTGAACTTAATGCTTGCATGCTTGGGGAATGACCGGGGAACTAGGGTTCCTCCAATATTGTAAAGGTTTTAGAGTAACAAGGGATTGAGCTCTAATAACATGCGAAAGAATTGATTAGATTGATACTAAGGACAATTAACATTAAGAAGGAATTCTAACGTAATAAGGAGACTAAATGAAATCGAACCCCTAGCTACGTTTTTATTTTATCAATTTAGTCAAATCCTTAATTTCTTGTTTTTAATTCTTGCGAGTAATTAGCTTTAATATTTAATATTTAAATTTTGCAATTCAAATCCTGTTTCCAAATACAACTTCGATTGTCCAACTAAGTTTGCGATAGTGAATTAGTGCTTGAACCGTAATCCTCGTGGGAACGATCTCTTACTTAATCAGTATATTACTTGTACGATCAGTGCACTTGCCGTGAGTAGCAACAAGTTTTTGGCGCCGTTGCCGAGGATTACTATTTCAACATTAATAGTAGCTATTAATTCTTTAGATTGGACCTTATTTTTAAATTCAGTTTTATTTTTTTATTTTTATATAATCTATTTTTCTGGTTTATGAGAGGTACCGTTGACACCGATTCCTTGCAATTCGACCCGGAGATAGAGAAAACAGCAAAAAGAAACAGAAAACTTGCTAAAGAAAGAAGACAGCAAGAGAAAGAAGCTTCAAGCTCAACAGAACCAAGAGAAGAAGCAATGAGAGACAACAATGCACCTCCACCACCTCCGAGAACGTTGGGAGATTACATGAACCCTGCTCGAGTTCCACAGACGGCGAGTATTGTTAGACCAAACGTGGATGCTAACAACTTCGAACTCAAGCCGGCACTTTTACAATTAATTCAGAAAGACCAATTTGCCGGAGGAAGCACGAAAGACCCTTACATCCATCTGGAAAACTTCTTGCTATACTGTGATACCTTGAAGATGAATGGGGTGTCTCGGGATGCTATTTTGCTCAGATTGTTCCCTTGTTCACTTAAAGAAGAAGCAAGAGGCTGGTTGCAATCACTACCTCAAGGGAGCATTGACACGAGCTGTCGAACTCGTGCAAATTAAAAATTATTTTTTAATTAGGGTTCAAAAAATTTGCAGTAAAGTGGAAACCCTAAGTCGTCTCTCAAGGAAATTGTTTTGGTTAAAATCGCTTATGAGAACAGAAAATTAAAAGGGGGGTTTTGGATTTTGATTCAATAATTAAAAAGGCAGAATATAAATTTGGAATAAAAATTCGTAATTAAAAATAACCAACCTAAGGTTTGGGTTCCATGGATGTCTTTCCTCGGATAAGAAGATATCAGAATCGTGATTGATTTGTCAATCGAATCAGAATCCTTATTTCCAATTGACAACCCTCTCTAAGCGATCGCTTAGCATTTGATCAAAGACGATGCTTCTACTCATACAATCGCAGCGTATCAGCCCGCTTGATTTATGGTCATAGGGTCAATCAACCTAATCATCAAATCGGATGATTAATCCCTTTCCATAATCGCAATCGCGAACCTCAGATTGAATATCCACGATCGCACAATATCAATCTGAGTTGGGAAGGGAAACAAAACTGATTT